TAGGGTTTTTACCCTAAGCCCTAAACCCTAAGCCCTAAGCCCTGCATGCTCTGAGGTTGGAGAAGAGGAGGTGAGCTTGTTCTTCGCCTTGGACCATGAGGGAAGATCCGGGCTCAGCTTGAGCCAGGTCTGTCTCGAGGTAATGTAGGGGCCCTTAGTAAGTAGGATAGGGTTTTGGGCTTCCTTTGAAGGGCTCCTTTGAGGGATACTATAAGGGTTTAGGGTTTAGGGTTTAGGGTTCTGAATCAGTAGAATTAGAATAGGGTTTTGGGGTATATAGAACCCCTCTTCTCTGTATACTACGCCCCCTGTTGCCCAAAACTAAATCCTGATCCCAAATCCCTCTAAGCCCTCGCCTATTGCGTGAATCCCTAAACCCTAAACCTTGATAGTAGCCCTTATAGTACCCCTTAGAGGAACCCTTAAACGGAACCCCCAAACCCTATCGACAACCTTAAACCGCTAAACCCTTATAATCCCTAAACCCTTGTTTCACTCCGCCGACTTAAGACCAGGAGCCGCACCTGCATTGTCCGAGAGTGAGAGCCGAAACCCCTATACCTGAAACCCCTACGGTTTAGGGTTTAGGGTTTAGGGTTTAAGCTGATTCGCAGAGTCTGGGTTCAAAAAAGGGGTTTAACCCTAAACCCTAAACCTTAAACCCTAAATCCCTAAACCTTGCCTTGCCTGTGTTGTGCGAGAGTGGGAGTCGAAACCACCCAAATCCCTAAACCTTAAACCCCCAAACCCCCTAAATGCTTAAACCTTAAAATCCCAAACCCCAAACCTCAAACCCAAAACCCCAAACCTTAAATCTTAGAATCCAAAAACCCCAAACCCCAAGCCCTAATCCCTAAACCTTAAAAATCTTAAAATCCTAAAACCCCAAACCCCAAACCCTAAACCTTAAATCTTAAAATCCGAAACCTTAGTCCCAAAATGTGTGAAACCCAGGCCCAGAGCCGGTTCCACTTGCAGCCGATGGCTCCGGCCGGGGAGCCATGCATGCGGCCGCCTCCCCGGATGCTGGCAAGAGGGATTCGGGTTTAGGGGCTCAGGGGTTCAGGAGTTTAGGAGTTTAGGGGTTCAGGGGTTCAGTGGTTTTGGGGGTTCAGGAGTTTAGGGGTGTAGGAACTTAGGGGTTCAGGAGTTTAGGGGCGTAGGTACTTAGGGGCTTAGGAGTTTAGGGGTTTCGGATTTACGGCTCAGTTTTGGCTTTCAAGTGTCTACAGCTATAGGATGTTATAGGCCTCTTCGTTTGTCTTTTGGGGTGGCGAAGGGATTAAACGTACGGCATATGAGTAGTTCTCTAAATTAGGGTACCTTGTATAAGGGTGCCGTACTTAGCGAACTACCCATATAAGCAAACGGTCGCATGGAGTTTGAGGGTGCCGGTTAGTCATGGGTTCGGGCCCTTGGAGATCTCAACGGGTTGAACCCCGTTATCATTATCGGGTCCAGGGTTTAGGAATTGCAGGTTTTGGGTTGGAATCAGGTTTAGGAAAGTTTAAGGTTTAGGAATTTGGGGTTTGGGAATTTCTGTCTTTAAGGTGTGGATTCTTATACGGCTTCCAGGTTCGACAGGCTCCTCCGCGATGCAGATGTTTCAGATGCTTTGGGTTTCTGCCACGAGTGCAACAGCTCTGCAAGTCTGTGCCACTAAAAGGAATTTTGGGTTTTGGGTTCATGGTTCTGTAAACCCTAAACCCTTCCCTAACGCTCCTTTCCCGGCGGGGCCCTGATGGAGGAAATGGTTTGGGGGAGCTTTCCCCGAGGGGTCCTGAGGGTTTCGAGGGGTCGGGTTCCAATACGGCACGTCACTGCCAGGGTCCATGTATGCATGTTCATGACACAGAATTGTGTTTTCACTCACCCCGCAACCGCTTGGCAAGAACGTTCAGTCGAAACCGGAGTCTGCAACGATACCGCTGCAATGTCCGTCTGCTGACCGATGTGCGGTGGGTTGTCCTGTGATGTTCATGATGCAGATGCAGTTTAGGGTTTGCCAGCCTTCTTTCAAACAGCACATTACTACAAAGGTATACTGCTATACCAATCCAAGAGTCCGTGCCATCCGGCCAATAATGCCGATCCAGCTTTCAGCTGCAAGAAGATTATGCACATGAGGGTTGATGCGAGTGATATAAGCATCGTCGAGTGCATGCTTCAGGTGGTGCATTTTCGGCAATATCATCCAAAGATTGCGGTTGGGAACCTTGCCAGCACGCAATAAGCCACTCAAAGATCGCAGGTTTGCCCAGGACTCCAGATGGCGCTGTCCGGTGTTGCGCATATTTCTCGCTTGCACTTCAGATAAAATCAGCGGGCATTCGTCGAACTGGCGCAGCAGATCTGCGTAACTCCAGACACAGACAGCAACTAGCCTGTCTAGCGGCGTAGAATGATCCCTTTCAGCGTATTCCACACAGCGATACGCAAGCCAAAACGTGACCGTTTTGCCGGCAACTGCTTTTGATGCCAGGCCTCGTTCATGAAACAACAAACATCAGACTTTATATTCGCACAAAAAAAAAGTTCGAAAACCCATATAAACCCAATAGCCTGATTATATTCAAAAAAGCACTATGATGAAACCAGGTTTGGAACACGGCTGCATGCCTCGGTGCTTTCTGTTTAAACGATTGAAGGTAAATCTGGGCTGGCTGACTCTCAAGCCAGCGGCCTTGCACCATGATTGGAAGTCGGAATATGCAATCCGAAGCGCAGCCTGTAGCGCCACATCGTACACACCAGCGCCGAATTGTCCACCCGTGAAGAATCCTTGCTCACAAAGGTAGGTCAGAGCAGACCCATTGAGGCATTTGCCACTACCCAGCAACTGACTATGACACGTGTCGTGGCAGAAGCGTTCCAGGTGCACACCAAACCTCATCGGCCACGGCCAATCTTCGATGCACGCTGCATCGCAAAATGCAGAATTATTCACTGGCACATGCTGTGCCTTGTCGCCGAAGGCTGTGATGGTTTCATACACATTGTCGGCAGTTTTCACACAGGAGCATCGAGAGCAAAAGTCATTCAGCCGATAATTATGTATCTTGTATTTGTCATTGATCCATTTAAGGTCCCCTCGTACTCCACACAGCACGAACCGAAACTCATCTTTCCAGGGGTGCAGAGCATTCGGGTCACAAAGGTAGTTCAATCTCGGAAGCACTGCTTCCATGATTTCCCCATAGGTGGTCTCACACTCACAGTATTCCGAATATACACAGATCAGTCCATACTGAAGCATGGCATCGACACCGAAGCTGAGGTCGGAACACCATCCCACAACAGAAACCGCCCCAGGGTCTGTATTTCTATATGCATGTACTTCGTCTCCATATAGAGAAACTGGTATGAGGCCCGAATGGCAGCTTTCTGGTATGTTTGGTGGGTACCATGCACACCGAGCACGTACATTCTCCCAATACTCAGCTGCCCCAGTCCTTCCCAACTTTCCAAAGTAGATGTGCTCGAACACATCTTTGCCAGAATCCCACACGGCTCGTGCAAGCACATCAGGAAAGATAACCTTGGTTTTCAGGGCAGTGCATGACCGTAAGAAGCCACTTCATTCTTATGATGCACCAATACATAAATGAATACTGCAACATTGCTAGCGGGATGCTGGAAGATCGGCTTCGTAAATGCAGGAGTCTTTGGGGTCCCACAAATGGACAGAAATAGTTTCGATTTTGGCATTTAGGGCATACCCAAAGGATGAAACCATTCTCTGTAGGTCCCTCTCGGCATTTTGTTGGTGCCGTCCATGAGCCCCTAACTTCGAGAGCTTGCCGACCAGGTCTCCTTTCTTGGCTTTGCCACCAGCAGATGCACACCATGACATTGCACCCGCAGCCAACTCTTGTACCTTTAGGATCATGCAGACATAAACAAAAGCTGCACATGCTCATGATGCTGCACACCAGTGCTTTCGAGATACATTTGTAGCACTGCTCTTTCCTTCAGTGTATTTGACAACCAGGCTTTCCCCAAACTCATCTGGGTCCTGCAGGGTGCGATGCAGATTGCAACCCCAAATCAGATTGCTATCTTCGAGCACCCAGGGTATCCTTTAAAGGTTGTTGGGGCTGTTGGTCGATGCTGGCAGTTGCAGCATTCACGAATGGAATGGCGGATGCACGTCGCTTCGCGGCACTGGCTGTGGCAGGCTGCGATGGATCAGCGGGTCGCTTCGAAGCATTCGCCAGCACTTGCTGAATAGCACGTCCTGCAGCATAACAATCGATGCTATCTTGGCGATAGAATAGGCTCCTACACACATGTGGCTCTTTCTCAGCGTCGCATCATTCCATCCCTTTGATAGATACTGTGAGCATGCAGTGCATGCTGTGCGTGCGAAAAGATTAGCGGCTGTACTGGACAGCTTAAAGGGCATTGCAAGCACATCACTCCAACGTGCTCATTGTAGCGCCAGGCAGTTGAGACTTTACGAATAGATGCAAGCGTAGCGTGCAGAACTCGACGTCAAGAGTGTTCTAATGCGCTTTGCTGCCCCCCCACTGCTGCAGATCGCACTTCGGATCCCAGCATTGCAAAACCCCGTAGAGCTGGCAAGGTTGCTGGCCTTTTTGATATAGCCCTAGCTAAAGTGCTCCTTCTTTGCCTTTGCCAGCCCCAGGCTGGCTGCTCACGCCTCACTGACCGGGGCGTCCTCGTCATCATCATCCTGCGGATCTTGGGTTGTATAGTGGGGCATTGAGACACGAATGCGGGGATAATTGAGGGCTGTTGGTTTTTGGTTCAGCTACATAGTTGGCATTATCATCCGTGACCAGGATAACAATCTAAGAACCCCAACCCCCCCCCCAGAGAGCCCATAACTCTCCAAAGCCAGATATAACACAGGGTTTTGGGCTATCATATATATATATATACATATATAGGGGCATTGAGATACGAATGCGGGGATAATTGAGGGCTGTTGGTTCTTGCTACAGAGTTGGCATTATCATCCGTGACCATGATAACAATCTAAGAATCCCAACCCTCCCAAAGAGCCCATAACTCTCCAAAGCCACGTATAACACAGGGTTATATAAATATAGGGATATTGAGACACGAGTGTGGGGATAATTGAGGGCTGTTGAATTTTGGTTCATGCAGCTACATAGTTGGCATTATCACACGTGACCATGATAACAATCTATCCCCACCCCCCTCAAAGAGCCATACTCTCCAAAACCGCGTATAACACTACAATATGCAAACTCCGGACAAAGGGCTGCAAGGGATCAGTATTTAGGGTAGTTCAGGTTTCGGGGTACTTCGATAAACAAATATGCATCGGAATTTCAGAGTTATATGGGTGACCAAGGGAAGGCCTTGGGGTGTGGGACATGAGCAGCTAATTATAAGGGCTATTCATCCGGTATAAGGTTCGTTGCTTCAGATTGCGATTGTGGAAGGAGGGTTGAGGTCTTCGACCCGAATCTCGCAGGACTATAAAAGTATAAAGCCCCCTAACCCCTACATACCCCTACTATTTGCCCCTTACCAGTCCTTCTTGGCTTTCTTCGGCTTCGGGCACACTCGGTTTCCACTAGCCTTGTCCTCCCAGAAGAGAGCCAAGCGTTGGCGACAAAGCTCCGATGCAGCATAAAGCTGCGAATCCGGAACCTGCACCAACAAAACAAACAGCACCACTGTAGTCGAAAGCCCAAAGTACACTCAAGTCGAAGCCTGTGCAGCTTTCAATCCTTGAAGCTGGGCATAGGATGTCTCTAGCTCCGAGCTGTGCGTCTGGATCAGCGTACCTTGGGCATGTAAGCCATGCTCACAAAACCTATATGACCTATAGAGCGGTGTGTTTGCGTGGAGCTCTTGCTTTCAAGTGACAAAGCTGCTCTTGATGCTTCACACAAGCCAGTCGCACAGACAAGGTCTTTGCCTCTCCCATTGCCTTGATCAGCTTAGTAGTGCACCACTCCGCTGCGTCCACAGCGGTCTCCGGCATGACATCCTCCCTTAGATGGTGATATAGATCGAAAGAGAGAGAAAGAAAGAGAGAGAGAGAGAGAGAGAGGTAGAGAGAGAGAAGTAGAGAGAGAGAGAGAGAAGTAGAGGGAGAAAGATTCTGACTCATGCTGTACTAACACTTCATAGCTTCGATATATGAATGCAAAGGAGCAGCTTCTTAGGCTTCTTCCCGAACTTCGGCTGGCCATTGGCGTGGAGAGCAAGAACGGCCTTCCCCTTCCCCTTCCCCTTCCCCTTGGCGCCACCCTTGGTGGCCACGTCAGAAGAGGAGCCTCCGGGCATGCCAAGGCAGCCAACATCACCTGTCCCCGCAATTGCCGGAGCAGTGCAGGCCCCATACATTGTATTCGTCCCGAGGTTCTGAAAAGAAGCACCACCAACCAGCCGTGTTGCAGCCTGTAGGAATGAAGCACAAGAGCAATCGAGAAAAAAGTTAGATATGTAGCTGCACACTCATGCCGCCTCACTGCCAGCTTCTATTTCGGTGGCCATTGAAATAGTCTGGCGATCGCGTGTTTCATGCTCGTTGACATAGGACATGTCGACCAGAACCTTGAGTTATTGCGGAGTTCACTCCCACCACGATGATAAAATCACACGCAAATGTGAGCCCCTGACATAATACAAGCGGGCACTTTCATCATCCGGCAGATCGGGATGCGGCCTTGTGTGGCCACTGGCCACCTTCGATGCGATAATGTTGTTCACCGTGTCCTCGTTCTGATGCAAATGCATCAGCTGTGCCCGGGTGCGCCAACCTGAGGAGAGGGAGAGAGAGTGAGTGAGTGAGTGAGTGTGAGAGAGAGAGAGAGAGAGAGAAAGAGAGAGAGAGAGAGAGTGAGTGAGTGAGTGAGTAAGTGAGTGAGTGAGTGAGTGAGAGAGAGAGAGAGAGAGTATACAGTGAACAGTAGTGATGAGGGAGAGATACAATGAGGACCCATAAATTCCCAAGCCACTTAAAAACTTTTCTATATCTATTAACCATAGCTCCCAAGCCTGACTACCTTAATAGCAGCAAAGGCACCCATCCTTTGTGACCCTCGCGCTGCATCTGTTCGGGATCGATCGAGCTGGATCGTGAGCCTTGGCATTTGCATCAGCGGGGCTTCCTAGTATGGAGTCATGACATACAAGGGTAGTGTTTCAGCAAAGTAGCCGCCCGAAGTCTTTGCCAGCAGTCAACCATTTATGGAAGAGAGCCGTCTTGGCACTACGGGAGTTGCTGCTGCAGGCCTGCACCCACAGGTTTGCGAACTCATCCGGGACCTCGTCGCCCTTTTTCAGCTTCCTCAGTAATTCAATGCATACGTACACATAAGGAGGCCTTTCATCAAAATTATAATATTTAGACCACGGATCCTTTTGAAGCAGGCGTAGAGGGACTGTCTCTCCTCATAAGTCTCCGGGAAGATTGCCATCTCAGGGAGAGCAACAGGCAAGTATTGTTTTAATTTGTTGCATGCGAAGCCCACAACCCGCCTCTGTGTCCAGAACATGCAGCTTACCCACA